CGAGTAAAGAAAAAATGTCCTGAACGGGAGTAAATCTTAGGTCTGACCAGGACCAGGTTGTGGTCACTGGTGCCTGAGGGGGAGAACTGTTTGGTGGGAAAAGTGTCAGCCTGGTTTAAGATTATATGGTCTAAATGAGAGTTCCCTCTAGTCGGTTCAATAATCAGGTCGCTGAGGCTTAGACACAATAAAGTGTGCAGTGGTGCGTGGTTAAAGTCACCTTCTATAAGGTGCAAGCTGTCAGCAAGAGATGGGACAATACTCAGGAGGAAATTATCATTAAATGTGTCAATTTCTGACAATCTACAATGAGGTGCTATGTATAAGTTAGTGATGGCAATAAAAGTAAAGCGAGAGAATTTGGGGTGACAGATGACAGTCAGGCAATCAACGCCATTCTGGGAATACTTAAAAAGTATTTCTGACTTGCCGCACCATTTTGAATTGATGTAAATGATCACACCACCTCATAACTTCTTCCTTCACCGCTGTCTATCTTGTCTGAATCAGACGTAATTAACCAGTTGCACCACGGAATCGTCCACAACCTCATTGAGCCATGATTCCTGAAGACACAAGACACAAGAGGTGTGAAATTCCTTTCGCTGGAGCAGGTACGATAAATCCGGAAGCTTCTCAAACACAGAACGGACATTGTTTCTCACAATGGTAGGCACGGTTATCTTGCTGGGAATAGTACGACCAAGGGCACTTTGCCAACCGGCACGAATGCGTTTTCCCCGTTCGCGGTATTAGTGCGCTTGACTAGCAACTGGCACCCCAAACTTGGCAATGTGGTTTTTCGCAATAACATCCTGCATTTTTAAAATTAACTCGTTTGTGTATATGGTTAAAACTCGCATATTTAACAATTTGGGCAGATAAAATCCAGAATGCAACGGCGGTGAGAAATTTTAGCGCAGCCGTTCAAGGGGCACGCGGGTATAAATATATCTGCTTCCCTACACGAAACTGCTGGCCTTATTCAAAACAGCCGTCCTCTTGCCATGTGTGCTGCAGTTTCACAATGGACACCCCAGCTGTAATCTACAGTTTCTATGACCCCTAGATCCCTGACATTAGTTAACGTGTCTACTTCGAATTGCCACCAATCACCTATAGCCCTCAAGGGTTTCTGGGTACTTGAAAGTAACTGACACTTAGTTGCGAATAAAGGAAGATCCCATGTGTGGGACCACTTGAAAACCTTTGCAATATCCTCTTCCAATTACAATTTTCCTTTGGATCCAACTGCAGTGGAAAAGATACTACATATATGAATAATAACGAAATAAACGGTACAAGGAACGGACTCACAGAAGGACTGCACGCTGGTCAACTGATCCTGTTCTTGTGATGTGTGGTTCCGGTCGATGAGGTGTAGAGGAGCTGAAATGGATGACTGCGACAGTTAACAGACCGCTCGACGATAACTGATAATGATTGATTAATTGTTCAGCAACACTCGGAGAACACGTGCGTATTTACGAACAGAATTTTTGTATTGTGTCGTAGGTATTGTGCATATTAAAACAAGCTGTACAATCATGTCAGATAAGGTGGATAGAAAAGTAAGGCACTACATAACCCACCTTCTAGAGTGGAAGTGCAGACTGTATACTCGATAAAGGTGAGAGTATAAGCAACTGTTAAAGAAAACGATCAGGAAATTGTACTCTTCTGCCAAGACGTGTTGTACATGGAACGGTTTGAGGTGTTAATACGCGTGTAGAAGGTGGGATGGTTGTAGTGGTGTGTGTTGTGTCTGACGAATGATTTGGTGTAGGTGATGTATCGGGGATAAATGGTGAGGGAACAACATGTGGAGATTGTGTGACGGGTAAATCGAAAGACGAATCGAGATACGCGGGTTTAAAACAATCGATGCTTACCGAATCATGCGTTCCCTTGCGGTCCAAAATAAAAAATTATCGGAACGAGAAATTACTTTGTATGGCCCGGTGTATGGTGCTTGGATTGGTCGACGTGTAGCGTTGCAACCAATAGAAACGTGGCTAAATGTGTGCAGACAATCAATCACGTTTTCAGTCCACTTGTGTTGGGGTGTTGGAGTTGATTTGGCATGCACCATTTGGTCTCGCAAACGCTCGGCCAACATCGATGGAGAAACAGGGGTTGACGGTGGGGCTTGAAGCAAATCACCGGGT